AGTGGTGGTGGTGTGGCTTGGGAGGAGGAGGGCCCTGAGTGGTGATGTGGCCAAGGAGGAGGGCCCTGGGTGGTGAGAGGAGGGCCCTGGGTGGTGATCCTTAGTGGCCGGAGGAGGAGGGCCCCTGGTGGTGATGTGGCCGAGGAGGAGGGCCCTGGGTGGTGGTGTGGCCGGGGAGGAGGGCCCTAGGTGGTGGTGTCGCCGGGGCTGCCTCCTATCTCTCCTTCCCTTGCGATAATAACAAATGCAAAAGTAAATTACTCAAATATTTGCTACAGTGTTCAGTGTGTTTACGATTCAGCTATATTCGCTTTTAAATCACTGATGATAATAAATTCCTTCTGACTACTTAAGAAATTCATGAGGTGGGGTAATGATAATAATAAGTTAAACCACGCTTATTTAAACCTGTTAAATCCCACTTATTTAAACCTGTCATCAGCGTTAATATTCCGGTTGATCTCATGCTGTTCGGTTGTGGATAATTAATCATCTTACCATTTAAATGTTTGATTCCACTGGACGCTTGAAAATAGTCGTCTAATGAGATGATTCCCATTAAATGTCAAACTCATTTCGATAAATCTATCTTTTTATCTATTTTTTTGTAATCTATTGTTGTTGTTTTTATCTTTTATCATACCTCATATTAGATAGTTATTCAATTAAACATTAAAAAAAATAATCCGTCAGATATGACTTTGAATCGATTTCTTATCAACTATTATGTTTGTTTTCTCTATTTAAATTTGTTCTTCTTTAAAGCTTATATCATACATGTTAAGGCTGAGGTGTTAGAGTCTTGGGTTAATAGTGGCACCATTATAAAGTCATCGAGAGGGGAGCTATTTACAGGGAGTTATTGAGTCATACAGCTCAAACTTAATATAAACCGTTCATTACTATCTTTATCATCTGCCAATTATATTTTACCCAATCCTTTAGTGTACATTTAAATATACCCGTGTGTTATATTATCCTCATTCAACTCTATATTAATGTTCCTATCAGAAATATCAAAGTGTTTTAAATATTCGGGGTAATGGAAAAATATGACTGTCAACTCGGTATAGATTTTGGCTTAGCGTGTAGTGGTTGGAGCAGGTGGTGGGGAGATGCTATCACACCTTGTTTAGCTGAGCGACTGGGTGTTGTCTTGGGAGTGGGTGAGGGCGGGTAGGGGTGGAAGGTAAGGGGGAGAAGGTAATGATAGGGAGGGAGGGTAAGGGTGAGAGAGGGTCAGAGGGAGAGAGGATAAGAGGGAGGTAGGGTAAGAGGGAGAGGGTCAGGAAGAGAGAGGATAAGGGGGGCAATGGGGAGAGAGGGTAAGAGGAAGGGAGGATAAGGGGAAGGAGGGTCAAAGGAAGGGAAGGTAAAGGAGGAAAAGGGAAAAGATGATCAGGGGATGAAGGTAAAGGGAAGGGAGGGCAAAGGAGAGGGAGGATCAGGGGGGGATGAGGGTGAGGAGACGGAATGGTAAGGGAGAGGGGTCCTAAGGTGAGGTGGAGGGAAAGGAGGGCCGGTGAGGAAGAGAAATTGGGAGAGATGAGTGGGAAGAGCATATGCGATGGAGTGGGAAGGGAAAAATGCTTTGATAAGTGAAAGGGTGAGAGAGAAAGAAGACCTTCAACAGTGAGAGGGAGTAGGAGAGAGTAGAGACCTTGAGAAGTGAGAGGGAGAAGGAGAGAGTTGAAATCTTGGGAAGAGAGAGGGGAAAGGGGAGAGTAGAGACCTAGAGACCTTGAGAAGTGAGAGAGAGAAGTAACGAGTAAGAGACCTTGAGAAGTGAGAGGGAGAGAAAGAGAGAAAAAAGAGAAACCCCAAACAAAATAAAGCAAGTGACTAAGTAAATGAAGAAATAAAAGCAAATAAACAAAAAATAAATAGAAGGACCTAAGTCGATTAACCCATTTACACGATTATAGCTTAATTGACCCTTCCACACCCCCCTCCCCCGTCCCACCACCTTAACGACCCGGATTCTTAAACGACACTCTACCCTCCCCCCATCCTCCTCCCATCACCACCCTCCCCATCACCACCCTCCCATCCTCACCCCCTCCCACCCTCCCCCTCCACCCACCCGTCACCCTCCTCCCCTTCATACACACCCCCGGACTCATGCATAATGGGCACCTGAGTGGCTCCTTTAATCGCCACATCGTTACTCATTAACTCCGGGCTAAATTCGCGAGCGGGTTGGTACCATCTTCCCACTCCTTCTCTTTCTTCTCCTTCTCTTCAAGCTCTTCCTCCTCCTCCTCCTTCTCCTCCTTCTTCTGCAGCTCTCTCTTCTCCTTCAGCTCCTACAATCCCTTCTTTCCTCTTTTTGTCCAGGCTTTTATTACTCCCTCCTTCCATCACTCCTTCACCACCTTTTCCTCGTCCTATCCTTTGCTTCTCTTCTACTCTTTATTCCTCCATCCTTCGCTCCTCCTCCTCTTCCTCCTACCCTTTGCTTCCCTTCCGCCTTATATCTCTTCCTCACTCCTCTTCCCTTCCCCCAACCCTTACTTAATGGTTAACAAATTTATTGGCAAAGCTTGTAGTACAGTTTGCCTATTCTGAGTAATTCAGTCAGGTCTTGATACTGAGGGTGGTATCACTTCTCACTGCCACGCAGGACAGAGGTTCATACACAAAGAAATAGATCATATTCAATAATAGTTCATATACAGTAGAAGTCATATTTTATGTGAAGGCTAATCAGTGTGGGCTAGCAAATTTTGGATAGACAGTAAGAATGTCCTCAAGCACTTCTGATTCAATGTAGTAATTACATAGTTCATGATACAATAAGCCAGGTGGCCTGAAGTTTTTGACAGTGTCACATTCAATAATATAATGTTCAAGTGTATGCTTTAAAGGTTTATCACAAAGTTTACATGCTGAGTGTTCCAGTATGAGTACAACGTCACTAATTTGCCAGATGTGTCTGTATCCTAGCCTAATTCTGGCCACGACTGCATCACATTGTCTGGTTCTGTCCTTGTGCTGGCCATACCGGTACCTCTTGTCACAATTTTTTTCATATTTACTAATGGTACAACTACCAGGTCTCTCTGCATTTCTTAGTTCCTTTAGATCAGAGTTCATGATTACGAGTTGTATGTTTTTAAGTACAGCAATGGACAAGTCAAGGTCCCGATCCACATTTTTTTTCTTGCATGCCTCATTGGCCAGTCTATCGGCACAGTCATGCTTCCTAATTCCAACATGGGACAGAATCTAAACAAATTAAATACAAAAGTTGTTCTCATTGGCAGTTATCACATTTCTTTTAATATCACAGACGACTTTAGACATAGACCCTGACGGGCTGTTCAATGATTTCAAAGCACTGTGAGAGTCACAGAATATCACCCCCACCTCCATTTTCTTTAAGGTAGTCTGTGGCTAAGTAGATTCCAGTTAGTTCAGTTTGTGTTGTACTGGCCCAGTTGTTCAGCCTTTGCATGTTTGACACTATCATTTCCTTGTCTTTATATATTACACACGTACAACCTGTTCTACCTGTGTATGTCGACACAGAATCATCAGTAAAAGCATAACTTTCACTTGATTTAATACTCTCTGTGTGACTGTTAATAGTTTCTAGTGTATCACATCTCGCCACATCGGTGTTTAACATTTACTTACTACTAACAGGAGTGTAATTAATAGGAACTGATATATCCAGCCAAGGAGGAATGGCATTAATGGGTTCGTCTGGGGTGATTGGGTCATTCAGTTTCAAGAGATCAGTAACACTCTTACGAAGCCACGCCCCATAGAGAGTCTTTTGTGGAAGGTTGGTGAGATAGTCAGGATTATTTAGACAGAACATCAACTCAGTTTGAGCTGTAGTTTGGGAACCATTGTCCTTCAAAACTTTGACACAAAACATGGTATTAAGTAGAGCTATCCTCTCAGATAGGGAGGGCAGCCCAAGCTCCTTCCTTATGTTTACATTTCTGGTAGATTTTAGCATCCTAGAATGATGTGCATGGCTTCATTTTGTACCTAACCTAACCTAACCAACCCTTACTCCTCCCCTTCTCTTCACCCTTCTTCACCCACTCTCACTCTGATTCCCTTTAGTTCATTTTTTCTCCCTTCACTCCTTCCTCCTTCCCTCCCCTTTCTTACCCCTTCCCTCACTTTTCCTTTCTTCTCTTAATCCCTCTCACTTCTCCTCCCTTTCTTCAGTTCGCCTCCATTCCCTCACTTCTTCTATCTACCCGCACTTCCCTTCCCTTCTCTCACTCCTCTCCCTTACCTTTCCCCTCTGATATGAGTTATACCTGAAACACTAAGATTTAAACGGCATCATAAAAATAAAATATAAAATAAGAATTCACACTTGATTTATCTTATTTATTTAAACTGTTTATTGCCATCTCCTTTCATAATTGAGTTTTTTAATAATAATGATATTATTATTTTTATTATTATTATTATTATTATTATTATTATTATTATTATTATTATTATTATTATTATTATTATTATTATTATTATTATTATTATTATTATTCTTTACCTTTCTGTTTTTGTCACTCACATTTCTCTGTGCCTGTCACTGTCGTATCTCTCTGCTCCTGTCACTGTCATATCTCTCTGTTCCTGTCACTGTTATATCTCTGTTCCTTTCACTGTCATTCTTCCTCTGCTGTCACTGTCATTCCTCTTTGCTGTCACTGTCATATTTCTCTGCCCCTGTCACTGTCGTATCTCTGTGTTCCTTTCACTGTCGTATCTCTCTGCTCCTTTCACTCATTCTTCCTTGCTGTCACTGTCATTTCTCTCTCTATATACTGCAGCGTGTGTATGTACTGTATATGTATGTATATTTCACGTCACAGTCTAACTCACTCCTATGGAAATGGACAACGTTTTTTCCTCCCATTTTTTCCTTCTGTGTCAAAAATTTCCTCGAACTAAGTGAAACAGCTTCAGGTCGCCACCATTTCCAGGTCACTATCATGTCCAGTTCACTAACAGGTTCAGGTCCCCAACAGATTCAAGTCACCAACAGGTTTAGGTCACCAACAGGTTGACAACAGGTTCAGATCACCAACAGGTTCAGGTCCCCAACAGATTCAGCTCATCAACAGGTTCAGGTCACCAACAGGTTCAGGTCACCAACAGGTTGACAACAGGTTCAGATCACCAACAGGTTCAGCTCTCCAACAGGTTCAGCTCATCAACAGGTTCAGGTCACCAACAGGTTCAAGTCGACAACAGGTTCAGATCACCAACAGGTTCAGGTCCCCAACAGGTTCAGGTCACCAACAGGTTCAGATCACTTAACAGGTTCGGGTCCCCAACAGAGTTCCAGATCATCAACAGGTTCAGGTCAACAACAGATTCAGATCAACAGGTTCAGGTCAACAACAAATTCAGATCACCAACAGGTTCAGGTCCCCAACAGATTCAGATCACCAACAGGTTCAGGTCACCAACAGGTTCAGGTCAACAACAGATTCAGATCACCAACAGGTTCAGGTCAACAACAGATTCAGATCACCAACAGGTTCAGGTCAACAACAGATTCAGATCACCAACAGGTTCAGGTCAACAACAGATTCAGATCACCAACAGGTTCAGGTCAACAACAAATTCAGATCACCAACAGGTTCAGGTCAACAACAGATTCAGATCACCAACAGGTTCAGGTCAACAACAGATTCAGATCACCAACAGGTTCAGGTCAACAAACAGGTTCCAGATTAACAACAAATTCAGATCGCAACAGGTTCGGGTCAACAACAGGTTCAAGGTCACCAACAGGTTCAGGTCCCCCAACAGATTCAGATCACCAACAGGTTCAGGTCAACGCTGGGTTCAAGTCACCGCAGGTTCAGGTCCCCAACAGATTCAGATCACCAACAGGTTCAGGTCACCAACAGGTTCAGGTCCCCAACAGATTCAGATCACCAACAGGTTCAGGTCAACAACAGGTTCAGGTCACCAACAGGTTCAGGTCTAACAGATTCAGATCACCAACAGGTTCAAGGTCAACAACAGGTTCAGGTCACCAACAGGTTCCAGATCGCAACAGGTTCAGGTCCCCAACAGGTTCAGATCATCAACAGGTTCAAGGTCACAACAGATTCAGATCACCAGGTTCAGGTCAACAACAGATTCAGATCAACGGGTTCAGGTCCCCAACAGATTCAGATCACCAACAGGTTCAGGTCACCAACAGGTTCGGTCTAACAGGTTTCCAGATCACCAACAGGTTCAGGTCAACAACAGGTTCAGGTCTGCAACAGGTTGGGTCCCCAACAGATTCAGATCACCAACAGGTTCAGGTCAACAACAGGTTCAGATCACCAACAGGTTCAGGTCAACAACAGATTCAGATCACCAACAGGTTCAGGTCAACAACAGATTCAGATCACCAACAGGTTCAGGTCAACAACAGATTCAGATCACCAACAGGTTCAGGTCAACAACAAATTCAGATCACCAACAGGTTCAGGTCAACAACAGGTTCAGGTCACCAACAGGTTCAGGTCCCCAACAGATTCAGATCACCAACAGGTTCAGGTCAATAACAGGTTCAGGTCACCACCATTTTGCACCCTAAAACGAAACCAACCTCCCCGGAAGCTTAACTGACAACCGCTTTGATTGGTCGACAGCCATTTCATCTGAGGAAAAGAAATTCGTGATACATAACAGGTGTTATATGACAGGTGATACATGACAGATGACACATGACAGATGACACATCGCAGGTTTTATATGACAGGTGATACATGACACATGGCAGATGACACATGGCAGGTGTTATATGACAGGTGATACAGGGCAGGTATTATAAGACAGTATTACATGACAGGTGTTATATGACAGTGTTACATGATGGGTGTTATTTAACAGTGTTACATGATGGATTTTATTTGACAGGTGTTACATGACAGGTGTTATATGACAGTGTTGCATGATGGGTGTTATTTGACAGTGTTACATGATGGACGTTATTTGACAGGTGTTACATGACATGTGTTTCATGGTGGGTATTATTTGACATTTGTTGTATGAAAGGTGTTACATAACGGGCGTTACATGACAGATGTTATATAACAGGTGTTGCCCCCGGTTGGCTATTGGCGAGAAATAAGTTGTCATTTCGCACTTAGAGACTGTTTTCAAAATCCACCCAATTCATAATTACTTAACTTGAACAGTGTGTAGTTTATTGTGTGTAGTTTATGGTGAAGAGTAGAGTTTTCTGACGGACACCAAAAAATTCGATTAGGGCGACCGAACTGTGAGCCGCTTACCTTATACTGTGTAAGTGTGTGTGTGTGTGTGTGTGTGTGTGTGCGTTTTAGTTTCTACATACTGCCATGTTGAAATTTATATTTTTTTAACTGATTACAAACATTAAGTCAAACACGAGCGTAAGTGTCCACCAAATTCCCTCGTTCAACATGAGAGGACCACCGCACTGAAAGAAATATCGGCAAGAACCAATTACAACGCGACGAGTGAGGCCATCCGAGTTTTAATTGGACCGCTGCTGTGAAATATTGGACCGTCGGACGGGTAGGGGGAGCCTCCTCCCCCCCCTGGCCTTGGTGAGAGGGATGGGGAGTGTCCTGTCTGGATAGGATGGGGTAAGGATATAGGAAAGGGAAAATTGCCCGCCTAGATGGAAGGGGAAAGGAATAGAGAGGAGAAGCAGAGAAAGGAGGAAATAAGCTAAACTACCTGGGAAACTTGAGGGAAATTACCCAGCCTGAGGAAGATGGCAGGAGTGAAGCAATTATGAGGGATGGGGAAGTCCCTAGTTAGGAGGAAGAGGTGTTGGGGAAATTTACCGATTTTGTTATGAGTACTCAGGGAGATAAACAATCTATCTGTCTATCTATCTTCCTGTGTGTTCGTCAGTCTGAACGTCCGTCCATCCTTTCTCTCACCATATTTCACTTTTTTATTTTCACTCAAAATAAAAAATCATACAAACTTTCTTCCAGAGTAATGAAAGCGGAATTCGGGGCTTCAGGGCGCGTCATTTGTGGTTTACCGGTCCAAGGAGGCCCGTCACCACTGAGGGACCTGAGGCTTTCCTAGGGGCGATTCCTTAGCCTCACTTTAGACCCCTTCTCCGCCGAACCTTGCCCTATATCTACCCTGACGTACGTGTGTGTGTGTGTGTGTGTGTGTGTGTGTGTGTGTGTGTTATTTCTCTCAGGATGTAAGGCACGGTATCACCTCATGTTGTCGCTGTGTTGGTGTTATAAAAACATAGGCAAAAAATATATGACAACTTCACTAAAATCCCTTCAAATGGATAATGTAACCAGGTGGTGTGACCTCTTTTATTTGACCTAAGACTTATGATGAGTGACCTGAGATTTATGGCATGACTTGTGACCTGAAACGCATGACATTTGACCTGGAAGACGACCTGCGACTCGGGATTTATGGACAATTGACCCAGAACCCGTGATCTGGTAGGATTTAATGCCATTTGAACTTTGACCTTTATGCTCGTCAAGCGTCTCATCATCCTAATTTTCATATTTATTTTTTCACTTCTACATGCATATTCCTCTACCTATCATTCCCCCCTCTCTTACCCCCCCATCTCATTCCCTTATCTTCTTTCTCTCCTCATTCCCCTACCTTCTCTCCCTTCCTCTCATTCCTTTACCTGCCTCCCCTCTCATAACCTTACTCCCCTCCCTCTAAATATGACAAATTTTGTGACAAGAGGTACCGGTATGGCTAGCATCAGGACAGAACTAGACAATGTGATATAGTTGTGGCCAGAATTAGGCTAGGATACAGACACATCTGGCAAGTTAGGAACGCTGTACCCATACCGGAACACTCAGCATGTAAGCTTTGTGATAAACCTTTAAAGCATACACTCGAACACTATATTATTGAATATGACACTGTCAAAGACTTCATGCCACCTGGCTTATTGTATCATGAACTTTGTAATTACTATATTGAATCAGGGGTACTTGAGGACATTCTTGCTGTTTATCCCAAATTTGCTAGCCCACACTGATTAGTCTTCAATTAGAATATGACGTCCAATGTATATGAACCACTGTCCTGCATGGCAGTAAAAATGACATCACCCACATGACTCTGACCTATATATACTGTTAATGAATATGATGTATTTCTTTGTGTATGAACCTCTGTCCTGCGTGGCAGTGAGAAGTGATACCACCCTCAGCGTCAAGATCTGACTGAATTACTCAGAATAGGTAAACTGTACTCCAAGCTTTGTCAATAAATTTTTTAAACTTAAACTAAAATCCCTCCCTCCCTCTCTTTCATTTCCTTATCTTTCCTCTTTTCCTCCCTCCTCTCATTCCCTTTCCTTCCCTCCCTCTCATTTCCTTACCTTCCCTCCCTTTCATCCCTTCACCCTCCCTCCTTCCCTCCCAACGTACCTGACCCCAGTTCGCTTGACCCGCCCTTGAGTCCAGACAATAATACCAGGGTGGGGATTTACCTCATCTGGTTGGGATAATCTGGCGAAAGATTTGTCAACAACGAACCAGAGGGAGAGCTTTACCCTTGTGGTACATTTTGCTGGAGTTATTATTATTATTATTATTATTATTATTATTCTTTAACATCGAGTCTTCGTGGGTCACCTGAAGATTAGACACCCTAGCTTATTTTTCCTGATTATTAAACACCTTAGCCTAACCTAACCTATCCTATCCTAATTGAACGTAACTTAACCTAATCTAATCTATCCTAATTTAATTTAATCTAACCTAACCTAACCTAAGATAAATAAACTGGGGTGTCTAATCTTAACGACATATAAATAAGTAAATAAATAAATAAATAAACAGGTAAATTTGCATATAAACAAGATAAAATACAGCAAAAGTCAACAAACAAACAAAGCACTAGAGTACGGCAGGAGGAGCACTCTACATCACTCACTCAGGGCCAGATACAAGACCCCCAAATTTAAATATTACCTCCACTGACCCATAAACAACAACACCCTCACCCCTCCCCCCATCCACCCTAACCCTTCCCCCCTCCCTCACCCTCTCCCTCCACCCTTCCTCACCCTCTCCCTCCACCCTTCTTCACCCCTCTAGTGGTGAGTGGCTGTAGGGGGAACCTTGTAGAATGTAGAGTCTGGCTATACGTAACGAGTGAGGAGTAAATGAATTGTGAATAATAGAATAGTAATATAATGGTAATAATAGCAAGACGATAAAAAGCAAGCGATACAGGTGGAAAAAGCGATAAATTATTAGAGTCGGGAAAGAATAATAATAATAATAATAATAATAATAATAATAATAATAATAATAATAAAGAAGAAGATTATTCAGTATTATTAGTAATGTAAATATTACTTATTTTGAAAGACTGTAAAATAATTTGACAAACAGTGTGTTTATTGTTCTTTCCCACAACGTATCGTTCAACAACAGAAAAGAGATAAGCGTAAAGTTGTGTTTACAGCTTTATGTGTCAGTGACCTTAGCCATGGGTAAACTTATTAATGACTCATACGAGGTAATATGAATAATACGAAGCATTAGGAATATGTACTAACTAGCGTGAAGTTTGTATAGTTATTATTGTGAAGAAGTTTCATGACATTTTTGACGTTATTCAGAGCTTTGTGTTTTTACCAATATATCTTCTTCATTTCTTCTGGTTCCCTATCCCCCTTCTCCACTCTCAGACATTAGCGGTCGACATCTTGAATTGAACTTTGTTATATTCGTATTCAAAATAATTGTATATAATTCTTCAAGTTTGTCAATATTGACTTAATGTTCACCGATGTAGAAATATTAACAATGACTACACTGTATTAGAGTTATAGAATCACGCGAAGATTAGGCACCCTAGCTTATTTCACTTGCTAATTAGACCTCACCTAACCTAATCACTCAGGTAGTTTTAGGGTGTGTGAATCATCAGGTGAAATATGCTGTGGTGTGTAATCTGCAGGTGATCCCTTGTTTACCCTTTCGTCGGCATCACGTTCATGAATTGCATGTTTTAGTTTGAAGTTGTAGTCACAGGTTTTAGAAATAGCTCTTAAAGGAAGTGGAAAGGGTGGCACAGTGAGGTATGGGAGAGGTCCAGGGAAAAGAAGAGGGAAAGGAAGAGGGAAAGGGAGAGAAAACGAAAAAGAGAAAGGGAATAAAAGAAAGTGATAGAAAAGGGAAAATATTAGAAAAGGGAAGGGGATAAGAGGGAAAGAAAGAAATATAAAGAGAAAAGGGAAAGGGAAATAAAATAGAAAGGGATATAAAAGGAAAAGGCGAAAAGGGACATAACACGATCGAGAAAGGGGAAATGAAGAGAACGGTGAAAGGAAGAGAAAGTAGAAAGAGAGAGAACATAAGAACATAAGCTAACAGAGATAACTATTCTACATAACGACCTTGTTGATGATATAACGAAGAGAATCGTGGAAGTCCTTCACATGCAGCAGAAACCCGTCCACGAAAACCTTGCATAAAATATCTTGAAGGACAATATTTATTGTTGTTCAGCCGTGTTAGAGTGAGACAAATATCTATCAACTGTAAAA